ATTCTCACAGCCTTCTGAACTAAGGGAGGTGTCTCACCTCACGAAAGATGAGTCCAGAGACAGTGAGTGGACCCCAGGCTTTATGTGGATGCAGTTGTCCACACGTGGACCCCTTCCGCTATAATTGTGCTGTAAGCATTTGGAATCCTATGTGCAGGGCAAGTGATGGTGGGTGGAGGAACTAGCAAGTGGCGATGAGGATGAAAAGATTGATAAACAGCTCCGACTGCAGCCTGGAGGGAGGCTGGGTGCGGTGGCATGGCCAAAGCCGGGACCATAGACTCTGTCGAGGTCCTCAAAACACAGCTATGGCCAGGCTTAGGCACTGTCCTGCAGCCCTAAGGACAGCCACGTGCCTCTGTGGGCCTGACCCTTACTTGTCTGAATTATGCATAACCCTCAAGGGAGGTCTTCTAAGCTGAGAATTCTGTGGTGAGACCCCAGGTCTGTCCTCATATGAACTCGATATGGAAGATCGGCAACATTCTGAGTAAAGGAGACAGCATGGGCAGAGGTGTGGGACCCAGTACAAGACGGGAAGCTGGCACACACGGACATGCACAAGAGCAAGATCCTGACAGTCTTGTGTCCTATGAGAAGCTGACTGGATTATGTAGTGTAAGAAACAGGAAACTGATGTGAAGGGTTAAACAAAACAGGACATTTTAAGGTTTTATTTTTAATGTATGCAAGTATTTTGTTTGGACAAATATATGTACATCACCTGTATCCCTGGTGATGAGGCCAAAGATGTTGCATCAGATCCTGAGGCCAGAAGAGTGTAGCAGATGCCCTGGAGCTGGAGTTGTGGTGGTTGTGAGCCACCGTGGGAGTGCTGAGAACTGACTCGGGTCCTCTTGCCCGCTGAGCCGTCTCTTCAGCCCCGTGGGAAGTAATTTCTTTTTTAGATGTCGAATTAAAGGCAGTTGAGACTTCGTGTAATCGGATCATGGTGTCCATGTAAAAGGAGGGACTGAGCTGGGGAAGGAGGACCCTCGGGAGGGACAGATTTGAGGGGAGATTTAAGTAAAGATCCCGAGGGCTACATGGCTTATGGGTTCCTGTGCATTGCTGAGTGGTCACAAGCCAGGCACTAGGCAAAAGCTCATGATTGACATCGTAATGAGTTCTAATACACCATGAGGTAAAAGGTCCTATTCTTACAAGCTTGGTAAACTCAAGCGACGGCATATGCCTTATAAACTGTGGAGCCAGACGTGAGTCTTGATTTTACCATCATGCCTTGCGGTTGATGGTGAGGGCGAGAGAGGAGCCTATCACTGAAGACTGAGGAAGTATATAAGGTCAACTCGACAGATTCTGGCATCACCTGGGAGATGGGATTCTGTGCACATCTTTGGAGCATGATCCTGATTGCATTAATTGCGGTGGGAAACCCAGTCCCTGTGGGCAGCACTGTTTCTTGGCTGGGGTCCTGGGCTGTATAAATGAAGAAGGGTGTTAGGCAGCATCCAGTGTTCATTTATATCTGCTTCCTGACTGGATTCTATGTGACCAGCTGCCTTGACTTCCCCACCCCGAAGGGCTCTCCTTGATAAGTGAACCAGAATAAACCCTGTTCCCTGAAGCAGCTCTTGTCAGTTTCTTACCATAGCAGCAGGGAAATAAAGGCAGACACAGAGAACTACGTTTGAGGAGAACAGATTTAATTTTGGAATCTTGTTTGTGCAGCTGGGAAGAGCAAATCCAGAGGAGGCCGAAAATGAAGGACCACAGAGAGACACCAAGCTGTCGTTCTCTGGGACAAACTCCTCCTTCCCCTGAACTCCACAGGGAACCCCAGAGTACCCGGTCTTTCTGACTCCCTTCAGCTACTGCTGAAGGTGAAGAGGTTCTCCTGAGAGCAAGCCCAGGGAGCAGGGTGGGTGATACATGCCTGTGTTTCCAGCACTCAAGGGGCTGAGACAGGAGGATAACCAATCTGAGACCAGCCTAGGCTACATAGTGAGACCCCATCACCAAATAAAGCCCCCGAATGTGCAAATGTGCAGAAGACCTGCAGGGAGAAGAGGCTGTAAGGTCTGTGGGAGACACGGCTAGAGCTAGCAGGTCCTTGGAGCTAGCTTCTTGACTCTGAAGAAGATCCAGACACCTGATAGATAATAACCCCTTTCCTCCACAGGACAAGCTACCACAAAGCAGCCAATACTAAGAATCTGACCTGGCCCAGTGGTTCACATTCTGTCAAGTCCCTGGCCGCACTCTCAGAGCCAATCTGAGGCTGCAGAGGCCTCGGGTCACAGGTGCAGGGTGTTGGCACTTGCAAAAACTCTTTGTTCTTGGTCATTTCGGTGGGAGGTGCCCAGGCTTGTAAGTGTGATGAGACGTTGGTGATGCCTTGATCAAAGGTAAACACTCCATTCTTCAGCAACAAGATGGTTCTTTCCTTCCTACTTTGCTGAAAGCAGGACCAGTGGGCCAGAGCAAGCATCAAAGAAGGCCCAGGGATTTAGGGGTTTCTGGCCAGGAGGTTGGAACTAAGTGTTCTGAAGACACCAAAGATGAGATCAGACAGCAGTGTGTCTTTCCTCCTACTCATATAACGCCCTTAGCACAGGGCTTCTCAAACCCAGGGGACAGTCCCTTCTTCCAGACACTATCCAGAAACTTTTTCAGTCTCATCCCACCTTTAGGCTGTAAGTGGCCTCAGGCAGGCTGCCCGCTCTCCACTCCTGTATTTACCGTAAGGAGTGCCAGGAAACAAGGAGCATTCAGAAGCTTTTCTCACTCTGCGCAGCAGCCCAAGGACTGGGTGAGACAGACTCAGTGGTGCACTACAGGGGAGAACGGCTGGCTGGAGACGGAGGAGTGGGGGCCTTGAGCAATTTCCTTGTCTTACAGGATCTGTAAGTTACTGAGCAGTTCTTCGAGGATAAGGGAGGCCCAAAGGGGAAACTGGAGAATACTGGAGGCTCTGGGAAGAGTGGACAGTCTCTTTGGGCCTAACGTGCCTCTCATTACCGTAACTCTGCCAGCAGAAGGCATGGCGCGAGACGGGGTCTGGCTCCTTTGCCTCCAGCTTGTCCTACGGCCAACTCTGGTGACAGGCATCAAGATGGAGATCGCCATCAAGAACTTCCGCACCTTACACGTTGACTACCCCAGGATTAACTACCCGAAGGGTTTCCATGGGTACTGTAATGGGCTCATGGCCTACGTGAGGGGCAGAATGCAGGACTGGTATTGCCCTAAGATCCACTACGTGGTCCATGCCCCCTGGGAAGGCATCCAAAAATTCTGCAGAAACAGCGAGAACTTCTGCGAGAACTTCAATGAGTACTGCACGCTCACTCAGAACTCCTTCCCCATCACCATCTGCACCCTGGGTTCCAAACAGCCGCCAACCAGCTGCAGCTACAACAGCACCCTGACCAACCAGAGGCTGTACTTGCTCTGCTCCAGCAAGCAAAATGCTGAACCGATAGGCATCATTGGCCTCTACTAGGCTTGCCAAGCAGTCCCACCTCCGACGGGCCTGTACATGCCACCCCAAAGCCTGTTCCCCGCTTCTGAGGCAGAGCCCGCCCTCCTCCAGGCTCTTTGCACCTTCTCATCACCCCCACTATGAACCTCCCTCGCCCAGCGGCAGTAAAACCCACCCAAGAAGCTGCCGGTGTCCTGCTGGCAGAGCTTGTCCGTCTACTGGGCCAGATCCCGACTTCTGGATGGAGGCCCAGGCCCCAACTCATGCCATAGCAACAGGCACCCAGTCCCAGTATTTCTCTCTATTCCTGTTTCTAGTGTCAACCTCCCCCACTTCCCTTATAATTCCTGCCCCTCCTGGGAGCCTCCGGTAGACCCCTAGGCTCACTATCCCACTCCGCTCCCAGCCCCCTCTCTCTCTGTGATCTTCCCTTCCCCACCTCTTCCCACCGTGGAGTCCAGTGTTGTCTCCCTGTTCTTCCGACCACTGGCCCACTGGTAGCCATGCTGCCTACCTTGTCCCAGCCTCTGCCTCCCACCTTCTTTCACCTTGGTCCACCAGTCTTTTCAAGTTATCTTTTCTGTTCTTCCCAAAGTCTCTGGGTCCCCTTTCCCTGCCCTCATCTCTACCCAACATTTCCCAGACTCTGGGGTCTGTGCCACTCAGGTGGCAGATGAAGAGGCAGACCCAGTTTCCAGTTGTGGAAAAACCACTGGGAGAAATTGGGCACAAGGCTCATGAGCTCCTTTCTGCATTGCCTTCTTGTGAAGCTGTAATAATTTCCAAATAAAAAGCTAAAAAAAACACATTCAACTCCATTGTGATTCAATTCCCTCCCTGCTTTTGGTGTCACCACCTCTGGCCACCCTTCACAACTGTTCTGTCGGAAGGACGATGGAGTTGGGGGCAAGTGAAGCCCTTCATGCTGTGAGTTCAAGGTCAGCCTGATCTAGAGTTCCAGGCATCCAAGCCAGCTAGGGCTTCATAAGTGAGACCCTGTCCCCAAAACCAGACCAAACAAACAAGCAAACAAATAGAAAGAGATTTGTGATTTATAACAGTGTTAGGCTTCCCTTTCTGGTTTTTATCTATCTCCCAACAAAACCTGGATTCTAACAGATGAGCAAGGTGGGAGGCACATTAAAAGCTCTCAGTGATTATCTGGGACATGGTATGTCAAACTAAGACCTATGACTCCCTTTGGGGAGGTAGAAGGAATGGGGGCCACTGATGTGTAATCACAGTAAGCGAATTTTTTTCTTTTTCTGCATCTGATGTAACTCATCTCCAAATGTATTCCCTAGTCCTGTTCTCAAGAGTGGTTGCCAAGGAGACTACTTCATTATGGTTGGTATGCTTGGGGCTTAGTAGGGAAGAGGGTTGGTTGAAACCCCTGGCTTTGTGGGCATTCTCTTTCCTGCTTCTCTGTCTATGGACCAATCTGGTCCTCATACTCATGAGATAGAACTCACTAGCAGCTGCACACACAAAGTTTATTATTTCCTGGTGTTAGAAACACGGGGTCAGGAAACTAGCGGGCGAAGACGGCTCCTCTCTACTTGTTTTTTTGGTCATAGGTGCCAGCCCCCTTGTAGCCACTCACATAGCCTGAGTTGTCTGTGGTCTCTTCCCGTCCCTCGATGCCCTTACCCTTGCCACTCTCGTCAAAGCGCTCCTTGTGGGTGCCCGTGTACTTACTGGTGTCCGTCAGTCGGTCTACTCCACCCACAGTTGTTGCTTTCTGCAACAGGGGAAGGAGGGGGAGTCTGAGCCTTCTTCCTCTCCCTGTGTATTGGAGCCCTTCCCCACATGGTCTTAGAACCTTCGAGCACAGGCTGGAGTGCGCATCCTGCCTCTGGCACGGTGCTGCTTTCTGAGGCCCAGACACAGCTGTGGGCAGGAGCTCTGACAGAGCTATCTACTCACGAGACAGGAGGATTCTGCCGCTGGAAAGGTCAGTGGATTTCTCTGTATCCAGAGGAGTTATTCTGATCAGGCTACTGCCAGAGGGCTTCAGTCCCAAGCTCTGTCCCCAGTGTGCAGAGCTGAAAGCACTATTTGTACAGAGGAAATAATTTAGGAAGAAGAGGGGTGAGAGGCGGGAGGTCTGAGATTAAAATATGTAGGAACAGAACTGGGGGAGCAGGCACCAAGTTCCTCCAATGCTAATGTGCCTCCAAAGTCACAGAATGCTGAGGTGTCTAGACCAGACATGAGACTTGAGAGTGAGTCTGAACATCACTAGTGAAATAGCTATGCCATGGCTAAGGGTGCAGCTGGAAGCGCCAGTAGGAGCCGGAGCAAGTCAGTCTTTCCACGCCACAGTTCTCCCACTCCCAGAATGACAACAACGGTCTAAAGTCTTCCAGTAGAGGCTTTCCACTCTGTATCCTGAGCCACACTGCTGACAGGATTTGGGGCATTGAATGGGAGCCGAGGCCAGAGCAGTGGAGTCTAGGGAACTGGGGCTCTGGGCTGGAGAGGAAGAATGCTACCATTAAGGGAGCTGTGGCAGCACACACCTGGAACCCTAGCACTAGGGAAGCTAAGTATGAAGACCTTAGTTCAAAACTAGCCTGGGTCACACGGCCAGTTCCGGGCTAGTCTAAGCTAGCAGTACGGTCCTGCTATAAAAACACAGACAGACAGACAGACAAGAAAGAAAGGAGGGAGGGAGGGAGGGAGGGAGGGAGGGAGGAAAAGAGGAAGGGAGGGAGGGAGGGAGGAAGAAAGGGAGGGAGGAAGAAAGGGAGGGAGGAAGGAAGGAAGAAACGGAGGGAGGAAGGACAGACACAAAACGGAGACCATCACTCACAGTGACACCAGTGGTAGCAGGGTCCTTGCCTTCCATGAGTTTATAAACGCCCTCCAAAGCCTCGTCTATGCTCTTCCCCTTGAACCGCTTTTGGCCCAGCTCCTTCATCGCCTCTTGAAACTGTTGGAAGTTGATGGTTCTGGCATTCTTGGCCCTGGTCAGTCAGACAGAAACCCAGTAACTGTGGAGTGTGAAGTCATTGCCTTCCAACGTCTCCCTTGTTCTTAGGCATGGCCTCTTTATCCTGACAATGAATCTTGAGGTCAGGGACCAGGACAGTGCCTGGCACCTGCCAGGCACTCCTGAGAAATCTTCCATCATAAGACCATCTGGCTGGGCAGTGGTGGTGCATGTCTTTAATCCCAGCACTCAGGAGGCAGAGGCAGGCAGATCTCTGAGTTCAAGGCCAGTTGGTCTACAGAGTCAGTTCCAAGACAGCCAGGGCTACATAGAGAAACCCTGTCTCAAGTTACAACAATAAACCCAAAACATGACAAGAAGAACCGTACCGTGATCAACTATGTTTTCACTTCACCCCCACCTTTGGCTCCTTACTTTACTTTGCTGAACACAATGTCCACGTCTGTGGAGGTCACCGCCTTGCCGTCCATGATGCCACAGTCTTTACAGAGTTTGGAGAAGTTCTTGTTGTTAATCTCAGTACCACTGCTGGATGAGTCTCCAAAGACAGCAAACCGATGGAATGTTCTTTCTGCTTCTGAGGCCATGGTTGACTACAGGTGGTGGTGGAGGCAGACAGTAGGAGAGGGGATTGGGGAGTGAGGGACCAGGAACAATCGTCTCCATCCCTGTTGCTCTCCAGCCTCCTCACCTTTCCACCCCTCTGCTGTGGTTACAGCAGGAGCCTTCCCTCCCCGGCACTCCTGTGCTTTGGCAATCCTCCCTCCCTCCCACTTTCGCATACCTGGGTGCCCGGATGGTGTCTGTGATCTTGTGTTCAAGTGTGTGCAGCTATTATGGGAACCAGACGACGGGGGAGAAGGTGTGGTAACAGGGAGACAGCAGAAAAGGACACTGTGATGTCACAGTGTTACATGACATCAGTTGTCCAGCCACGGCATCAGAATGAACAAGAACGTCAAGCTGTGTAATGACTGTGGAATCATGGATACCAGCCTGTTAGCGTTTTCAGATGACCAAACGCCCCTAATCACATCAGCCCAGTTTACTAACCTTATGGGTTCTGGCCTCACTATGTCTTCGGCCTGTAAAGGATCTAATTCCTGAAACCTTGTCATGAGCCCCCCAAGTCCCACTTCTCAATACCATCATGTTGGGAGGCAAGATTTTAGCATGTACATTATGGGAAGCCCCAAACACTGAAGCATCTGGGACTGAGGTGAACAGGCCAGCTGGAGTTAACACTGCCCTCCTGGCTGATCTCCCAAGAGTACTGACCAGCATGCAGAATCCCCCTGAGTGCAGAAAAACAACCCCAGCAGGGATTTTAAAGCACATCTACTGTTGGCTCAGGAAGGAAAAAGCTGAGGACCTGAAGTAGAAGCAATCTGTACAAAAGTAGTGTGGAATGTGGACAAGGGTAAGCCTCAAGCTCTCAAAACCCCAGAGGAGCTTCTGAGCAGCTCCAAATGTGCTTTCGTGGTTTCTTTCTGGACAAGCGCTCTATAAGAGATGAGATTCCGGGATCCCATTGCAGAGATTGGTCACTTTCTTGTCTTAGATAATCAGGCTCTATTTTCCTATAAATTCCCATCGTTTCCTATAATTCCCATAAACAGTTTGGGAGCGGGGTGGGTGGTGGCTGCGGCAGCAGTGGTGACACCTTTAATCCCAGCACTTAGGAAGTTGAGGTAGGCTAATCTCTGAGTTCAAAGTCAGCCTGGCCTATAAGTAAACAAACAAACAAACAAACAAATAATAAATTCATTCCTTTCCATCCTAGTCTTGCATCCCTATTCAAGACTTTTTCAAGTTCATTTTATGTGTACAGTTGTACCACCAACATGTATGTCTCTGTACCATGTGTGGGCCGTGCCCATGGAGGCCAGAAGAGGGTATCAGGAAGGCATCAGATCCCCTGTACCTAAGGTTACAGACAGTCAAGAGCTGCCATGTAGGTGCTGGGGATCAACCCCCCAGGACCCCTAGGTCCTCTGGAAGAGCAGGTAGGCCTTGTGACCACTAAGCTCTCTCTCCAGATCCAAATCTTTTTTATTTCACATCCTGAGAATTACGTGGGCCTCTTCTCTGAGGCTTTTGAATGACCCCTTTCCAAATTCAATGCTTTGGTCCTTTCTACTCCCCAAACTAGCTCTGTTACCCCTTTCCATTAGTGTAATGTTCTCCAAACAGGATTTTTTATCTGCTATTCCTGTTCAAGAGCAGATTATGACCCGTGACGCGTCTGTAATCACAGAACTCTTGAGGCCAAGTCAGGGGATGAGTTCAAGGCCAGTCTTAGACATGTGGCTAGTGTGAGAATACCTGATACCCTGTCTCACAGAATGACTATGCTATGACTCAAGACTCAGGACTGGAGAGATGGTTCAGTGGTTAAGAACATACAAGGCTCTTGCAGAGGACCTGAGTGTAATTCCTAGCACCCATACCAGGCAGCTAAGAACACCCGTGATTCCAGCTCCAGTGAGCCCCGATGCCTTCATGGCCATTGCATCTCCACATATACACTCACATGCTGACACAGAAATGAAAATAAAATATCCTTTTGAAAGCGCATAACCTGTGGTTCTTACTGCCAAATCTTTTTGCTTAGCCTTCAAGGACACAACTTGGCCCCAGTCTAACTCACCAAGTGTCTTCTGCCTGTCACTAACACTGCTTTTAGTCGGGGCCCTCATGGCATAATAGTTATACACTCAAGAGGCTACCTGTTGGGAAGAGATAGTCCCTGGAGGGGAATGAGTCTGGATTCAAGTCCTAAGTGTGTTTCAGCTGGTGGCCATGGGCAAGTCATGAACATTTCTGAGCTTCAGTTTCCACATCTGTATGGCTAAGGACATCAATGGAGCGCTGGGATTACACGTACTACCTGCTCTGAAACTCTTCAGGGTCGCTCTTGCATTTCTGCCTATACTTTCTCTTTTGCTCTCTGCCTGAATAAAACGTCCTTTTCTCCCACTCAAATATCCCACTTCTCATATGGATGGTCCACCTTAGCAACAAAACCCCATTCTTCTGAATTATAGAAACACGGGTTTTAGCCTGTGGGCTCCAGCCTCCTGGGGTGCAGGTTCCAGAAGTACGGCCAGGGGCCCTGAAAGATTAAGTGTGAACACTAAATAATATGCTTTGCTAGTGCATATTTGACTGTCAGAGTACTTCAAACATTATTTTAAGTATTTCTTAATTTCTGATTTGTTCTTTTGTCATCACAGCTTACCAAAATCATCCTGCGGAAATGAAAATCCTTCTCTTCCATGGAGACTCGGTGGAGGCCTGCTCTGGACTTGTTCTTTATACATTGGTCTTATTTCTAGTTCCCCTAGCTTTTTCTGTATTTATGTGCTTGCTCAATCACTGGATCACAAGCTGACTGAAACACAGCACTTTTCTGAATGTCATCTATCTGGTGGTTCTCATGCTACGAGTGCTGGAAATTGTCAGGTAGCTGAAGGCACAGTTTGAAGCTGCTTTTGGCCCAGAGAAGGGAGGTCAGATCCTGTCCATATGGGACACTTGCACTCATGTTTGTCTTGAACCTGTCCTGACAGTAAAGAACTCTGGGGCAGAACAGAACCAGCCTTCTTTGTGTAATCAGAGACCCCATAGGTCCAGCAAATAGCCAATCTCAGTGGAAACTTCCCACCTTCTGCCCTCCCCAAGCCCCTGTGTCTGCCCCTTATCAGGTTCTTCCTGAGTCATTCTGACCCAGAGACGAATTTAGATGCTGGAACCTTCCAGTCTATCCCTCCTCCCCCTCTTCAACTACAGCTACGTTAGACACGTGAAAGAAGTCCTCAGGCTGAAGGGCTGAGTCCGTCACACGGGCTGTCGAGTCCTTTCCTATCTTACCCATCTGTAGCTGTGCTCTTTCTCTTGTCCAGGAGAGCATGAAACCTGCACAGAAACCTAGGCAGAAAGCTGGATTGCTAGGTTTCTGTGGCAGTTTCTAGGGAAATTCTTATGAAGAGAGCAGGAGAATAGAACAGATAAAAACTCGAGGCGCCATTCGGGGGATATAGGAAACTCTTTAGGTCTAGGTTGTTTTTTTGAAGGCTGCGTTTGAGCCTACCCAGGTCTCCTCCTCCCTCTTGGCTTCTCCTTCTTTCCAACAGACCTGCCAAGTGGGGATGAAAGGGGCATTGATGCTTCTTGGGGAGGGGGGCTGTGGGTGGTGAGGGTAGTTCCCAGGCAGGGGGGAGGGCAATTTGGGGGTCTTGGGGAGGGCAGTTTTTGCTGGTGTTGCCGTTGGCAGCTCCAGTTCCATTGGACATTGTTTTCAACTGGCCTGGCGCCCAGCCCCCAAAACGGCAAGTCTGGAACTGGGCTGAAGGGGGATGGGGTAGGCTTGATCCTGGGAGCAGGGGTGCGAGAATGAGGACTTGTGGAGAAACTCAATCTAGCTGCCTAACACAACTTTCTCCCCACAGCCACATCAACTATTCCACTCCAGCAAGCCTTCCTTTGAAGATCACAAGGAGGGTGTGTCTCAGATGTGAATCTTGTGAAAGCCTAGGATAGGATGATAACCCCACCTAGACATAAGAGTCGGCCCAGGAGCCAGCAGCTCAGGAGACATCTGCAACGGGGCACTGCCACTCAGCCTTTCTGAGCAGATCTAGCCCTCTTTTTCGGGGTTGGACTGGGAGGGGTTAGCGACTCAGCCACAGGGTCTCTTGGGTCTCAGCCCAGGACAGTGAGTCCTCCCCAAACCCTTACTCCACCCTTGCAGGGTTAGCTCCGCCCCCGCGCCTGTTTACACAGGAGTCAGAGCCCATGGGGGTCCCCAGCCCCTCCCCTACGGTCACTCCACCCCCCCCCTCCCCCGCGTTGGGGCCTTGACCCGGGAGTCGCCGTTGGCTACCAGATTCCCCCTCCTTCGTTCACCCTCTATTTATAGCGGCCCCCAGCATTTCCACCCCGCCCCCCTTGCTTGTTGTCCAACTTCTCACAGAGCGGCCAGAGAGCAGGCGACGGACTCGGCTGAGGAGGTACCAGCACCCCATGCGCTCGGAATTCTTGCGCCCTCGACGCCCTGTCCCCAGACACGCTGGCACCACTGCCCCTACCTGCCCAGGGACCGGGTCTGAGCGGTGACCCTCGCCGCCCACCTCCCCTTTTCCTTGACCTAGCTCTCTGCTTCCGGGCGGGCGGAGCTGAAATCGTGGGACTTGGGCACTTTGGGTTGGCCTCCCCTCTCTATCGTCGCCGCCACTCAATCTGGGGGTCTGGGAAGAGAGCCAAAAGCGAGCCTGGCAGAGCCAGGTCACAGTAGGGGGCGCCGCTGAGGTGGGCGTGGGGGTCATTTGGAGGCTTAAGGGGTCCCTGCTCACACCCACTTCACGCGGCGGCTCGGGGTTGTGGGGAGCATCGGGAGGAGACCCTACGAGCATCCCCCACAGGGTGCTCCCTAGCCTTCCCCTCTCGCCCCTCCCCGAGCGGCATTGGCGAGGTACCGGGGCGTGTTTATGGGGGTCGGGGCGGATCTGTAGGGAGATGGCCCAGGGGCGGACTCGGGGCGGGTCTGTGAGGAGCCGAAGCTAGGGCGGACCTAAGTCAAAGGCAAGTGAAGGTGGCAGCGTCCGCGGCGGCTGGAGCAGGTAGGGGGAGGGGCGAGCGCGCCGCCGCTGGGCTGGGAAGGCGCGGGCCGGGAGGGTGGGCATTGTGGTCCTGGTGCACCGGCTGCGCTCCGGGGAAGGGACTGGCCTAGAGAGACGCTCCGCTGCTGCGCACAAAGGCGGAGGCGCTACAAAGTGCAGGATGTGTTTGGGGCGCTCTTGAGATGGTGTCCAGGTCCTGGGTGCTACGTGTCGGCCGTGCGAGAGTGTTGGTCCTGACGAGGGCCAGCTGCCAGGGACTCATAGGGCCAGGTTTCGGGTTCAGGGAGCGGCCAGTCACAGGTCCTACCCATCCTTTCCCGGCTGGCACATGCAGTCGGGGAAGTCGAGAGGTTACGGGGACCGCCCTATTCCCCCCTTGGCTTTCTCCACTGGACCTCCAGTTAGATTGGGTGGAGGAGAGAGACGAAGGCATGACTTGTTTGTTTTTAAATGGTGGAGGAAAACGTCATTCTGAACTACTTACATATCAACTAAGAGCTGTCCAAACGGAGTAGTAGCCGACCCGACAAGGTCACATGGTAGTGGCAGTGGGGTAGGACCCAAAGGTTCTGACACAGTCATGCTCTGTCCCCATGTCACTGCTCCCTTCTCTCTGTACCCTGCCTGTGTTGCCCCGCAGGCCCCTCCAGCTTGTATTGATCGACGCCTAGAGAGGACGTGTTCTCTGGACTCAGTGGAGATTAGGGAGGGTTAGTGACCCTGGGAGTCTGGGTCTTGGCTGTGGCGGTATGTCCCTAAAAGACCGAAGTCTGTCTCCCATGTCATTCACCTTCGTGTGTTTTCTCAGACCCCAGAGTCAGGACTAAGAACCCTGACCTCTAGCCTCACCGCACCCAACCAATAGGAGCTCAGTAAATTGACCCCACCCATCCCAAGCTCCAGGCTTCTTTCTTTGCAAGTCTGTATGGGTGCTCGACGACTCTCCGGACCTTCCAGTGTTGATGTATGCTCCTTTACTTGTACTTGGAAGGGAAGGGTTTTGAGCCGCCAGAGAAAGTGAGGCGTTGGTTGGATTGGATATCTGTGTCCTCTGTTGACCCCTTCCACTTGGCCATTGCCTTAGTCATTTTTAGCCCCTCAAGATGCTGGCATTGGAGCTACAGTTGAAGGTCATAGTCAATTGTGAACTCTCACTATCCTATCCCTTGGTACACTTAGAGTGTGCCCAGTCAGTGAGCTACAGCAGGGGGTGTGGGTGGCCCCTAAATATAGCTTAAGAAATTGGAACCACATTGCTTCCCCACCCTGGTGTTTCCCTGCAGGAAAGAAGAGGGTGTTGTGGAACATTCAAGAGGGAGGTGTGACTGTTAGAGAGGAAGGGGCAGCAACGGGGCTGGCGGTCCAGAGGGACCGCTATCCTGATGCTGTCATCCTTTGCAGCTCTCCTCAGTACCCTGGAAGCGGTGTATTGACCTGGGCTGAGAGTAGAGGAGTGAGGTTGAGCAGCCTCCAGGCTTATTTGTTGTCTTTCTTTCTTCCTACCTTTCTCTCTCTCTCTCTCTCTTTCTCTCTCTCTCTCTCCCTCTCCCTCTCTCCTCTCTCTCCCCCTTCCTTCCCTCCCTCCCTGCCTCCCTTCCTTCCTTGTTTTTTTTTTTTGAGACAGAATTTCCCTGCATAGCCCTGAAACTCACTCTGTAAACAAGGCTAGTCTTGATTGCACAGAGATTCACCTGCCTCTGCCTTCCGAGTGGTGGGATTAAAGATGTGCACCATCACTGCCTGGCTGGTTTATTGTTTTCTTATCCCACCAGGCCACCATGGCAGAACTGCAGGAGGTGCAGATCACTGAGGAGAAGCCACTGTTGCCAGGACAAACGCCTGAAACTGCCAAGGTTAATGGTGACTTTTTGGCTTCCCTGCCACACAGTCCCATACTCTGACAAATCCCCCTTGCCTCCCGGTTTCCCTAGCTCCATGGCTATCATTCAAATGCACATCCCTCCTTTACCCTTCTCTTCCCATCTGTTGTCCTAGACTCTGCAAAAGGGAGCCCAAACCTTGTCTCGTCACTAACCTCAATCCTCTCCTGTCTTGTTCTTGTCAACCTTTCTGTGTTTGGTCTCTGTTGGTCTCTCTGTACCTACCTCTTTGTGTCTCTCTCTGCTTGTCACTCTGTGGTTGTGTGTCTCTGTCTGTGTGTGTCTCTCCAGGAGGCCGAATTAGCCGCCCGAATCCTCCTGGACCAGGGACAGGTAACTGGACAGTGCCGGGTGGGAGGCTGTGCTCTTCTCTCCCCGATACTGAGAGGGTCCCAGTCTGGCTCTTTGCACTTTTTCCCCACCTTCCTCTTCTCTTCCCTTTTTTCTCTCTTTAGAATTCCTTAATCTCCAGGCTGTCATTATTTCCTGCCCTCCAACCCAGATCTGCTGTCAGCCTTTTCCTAAAAACCCATTGATCCTGTTCTTAACCAATCAATCGTGTCTTCTTTTGGCCTTTCCCCTTTTGAAAACCTTCGGTGTGTGTTCTCCCTGATGGTGACCTTTCTTTCTACAGACTCACTCTGTGGAGACGCCTTATGGCTCCGTCACCTTTACCGTGTATGGCACCCCAAAACCCAAACGCCCAGCCATCTTCACCTACCATGACGTAGGACTCAACTGTAAGACATTCGTTTCTTCTCCTTGCTGGAAAGAGGAGGGGAGGGAAACCCCAGCGTGTCTGGGGGCCGTCCTCAGTATGATGCATCAGAGAGGATTTCTCCTCCTGCTTAGCTGGCGTCAGAGCAAGAGGAGGGAATGTGAATTGTGGATGCATTTTCCTTCTGATTTTGTTGTTGCGGGGAATGTGGATTCTTTCTAGATAAATCTTGCTTCCAGCCACTGTTTCAGTTCGGAGATATGCAAGAAATCATCCAGAACTTCGTGCGGGTTCATGTGGATGCCCCTGGAATGGAAGAAGGGGCTCCTGTGTTCCCTTTGGGGTAAGACTTAGTTCCTTACCCCTCTGCATAAGCAGGTGCATGGGGTGTGCTAGAGAGGACGGGTGCTGGTGAACAGGAGTTCACTGCACTAGAGAGGAAGGGAGCGAGGGAGGCAGAGAGAGCTCTGGCAGAGGATGGGGAGGCACATGGGGCCGACTGGTAACATCAACATTCTTTCCTTCCTAGGTACCAGTACCCGTCCCTGGACCAGCTTGCAGATATGATTCCTTGCATCCTGCAGTACTTAAAGTGAGAGCCCCCTTGGAGTCCTTCGAACCAGTGTTCTTTACAGCGGAAGGAGGCCCTTAGAATGTGGCTACCATAGTTCCTGGGCTGACTTTGGTCTCAATATATTCTTCTTCTTCCGTGTTTTCCACCTTGGTTGTTAGGGGGAAGGGCGGGGGCTTGGAATATTGACTGGAACTATCAGAGCAGTCTCACTCCTGAGGGAGAGGAAGAGTGAAAGGGTTTGTACTGGGCCCCGTCTAGGCTTGGGGGCAGCTTCTCTGATCTGGGAGTTAGGTAAGGAGAGGTTCAGATGATCTCATCCCCGAGGAACTAGATAGACCCGTCTTGGTCCCCATTCCTGTCTTCCTAGTCACATTTGGTACACTGGGTGTCAGGTGTTAGTGGGTTGGAAGATCAGCCTCACAAGGGCCCTCCGGCCTGCAGAGGAAGGTGCTGAAGAGGAAGGGTGTTCGCTCTCTCTCAGATTTATTTATTTTTATTTTATGTGTATGAGTGTTTGCCTCCTACATGTCTGTATGAGTACCCACATGACTGGTGCTCACAGGGGCCAGAAAAGGGCATTGGAATTCCTGGAACTTGAGTTATAGATTCTTGTGAGCCACCATGTAGGTGCTGGAAATCCAGTCTGGGTCCTATGCAAGAGCAGCAAGTGCTCTTGACTGCTGAGCCATCTTGCTGGCCCGATTCCTGGGCTCCTTGGCTTAGCATTTCCTGGACACCCTGGCTCTCAGTAACTCTGGATTACTTCCTTGCCCGTCTTCTCCATTCTTTCTGTTCACTGATATCACACCTGTTCAATATTTGGCTTTAAGGTCCTTAGTTCTTGTTGCTCAGGAACCAGGGCTCAGAACAAGTTTGAACTTGTTGATTGAGAATGAATGAGCTGTGTGTGTAGGAAGAGATGTATGTTTCTTTTCACGACACTAGTTCTCCGAGAGGAAGCTGAGCATAGACTTCAGGGAGCTACACTAAGCACAGGAGTTCTTGGGGCCCCAAAAGAAAGGCCTTTGTTGTCCTTTTTTTGTGGCTGTGACCTCGGGGAGGATGGTGAGGAGTTTGAAGAGACCGGGCTGTGGCAAGTTTGGGCTGCCAGAGTCTATGACCCATACGTTTCTCTTTCACAGTTTCTCTACGATAGTTGGAGTTGGTGTTGGAGCTGGAGCCTACATCCTCTCACGATATGCTGTAAGACTGGGGGTGGCGGCATCCCATGGTAGACAGACTACTGTAGGCACGGTGCACATCCCTGAATTCCAGCCTTTTGGAAGGAAATAGGGATCAGGGGAGAGAGCAGGAGTGGCTGCTCCTGATCTTGCTGTCTTCCCTCAGTTGACCCACCCGGACACAGTCGAAGGGCTCGTTCTCATCAACATTGATCCCAATGCCAAGGGCTGGATGGATTGGGCAGCCCACAAGGTTTGGAGAGGCTTGCGATCTGGTATCCAGGGTGGGGACACTACCAGTGGTAACCGAACAGGTTCAGACTTTCAAGGAGGGTGTGAGGGGCACAGAGACGAAGCTGAGTTGCTTTGCCTGGTCTCTTTCCCCACAACATCTTGAACTTGTTCACCTGCCCTTGCAGCTGACCGGCCTTACCTCTTCCATTCCGGAGATGATCCTTGGGCATCTGTTCAGCCAGGTAAGTGGCCGTGGAAGGCAGAAGTAAAAGTGACCAGCCGGGACTTGAACGCTTTGGGGTGACTTCCTTAGTTGGGATAGGATCTGGGGTGTGGAGATAATTTAGTCATTGTTGACTTCCTTTTCTAACCCTGCTTTACCTCTTCTGTGCTTCAGGAAGAGCTTTCTGGAAATTCTGAATTGATACAAAAGTATAGAAATATCATCACTCATGCACCTAACCTGGAGAACATTGAACTGTATTGGAACAGTTACAACAAGTGAGTGAGCTGTGGAGAGGACATGGAACTGGAGAGAGGGTTCCCTGTGCAGTGTGCAGGGCAGGCAGGGTTCCATGTGCAGTGTGCAGGGCAGGCAGGGTTCCCTGTGCAGCGTGTGGGATGGGCAGAGTTCTGTGTGCAGTGTGCAGGGCAGGCAGGGTTCTGTGTTCAGCGTGCAGGGCAGGCAGGGTTCCACGTTCAGCGTGCAGGGCAGGCAGGGTTCCACGTGCAGCGTGCAGGGCAGGCAGGGTTCCATGTGCAGCGTGCAGGGCAGGCAGGGTTCCATGTGCAGTGTGCAGGGCAGGCAGGGTTCCATGTGCAGCGTGCAGGGCAGGCAGGGTTCCGTGTGCAGCGCGCAGGGTGTCAGATTCCCTCGAACAGGTGTGAGCTGCCGTGTGGATGCTGGGAATTGAATCTGGGTCTCCTGTAAGGGCAGCCAGTGCTCTTAGCCACTGAGCCACCTCTCCAGCCCCGTATTTCTCATTCTTGTGCCCTTCCTCACCCTTAGGTGCCTCTGGCCGGAGATCTAGGGCACAAATGATTATTGGTGGGGTGGGGTGCTTTTGGCATGTCCCTGCCATCTTCTGTGGTCTCCCCTCGTAGATGCTAAGCAGGTACTCTACCAGCAAGCTGCAACCCCAGCTCCTGGTGTTAACTTTTCATCACTAACAGTTGGCTATAAAAAGGGGAGCTAGCTTCCTGTGGAGGAGGTAGCTTATCTAGATAGACAACATTGCCTGTCAAAAACAACTTCTCTTTGAACCCTCTCCAGCCGCCGAGACCTGAACTTTGAGCGAGGTGGCGAGATGACCCTCAAGTAAGACTTTGGCAGATACCGCTTTGCCCTGTCCCTGGACTGTCCCTTGGTACCAGCACCCCTAACCCTTGAGGAGAACTTACCTGCCTCTAACTCCATTCTGTGCAGCAGGCTGCCTCCCTTTGGGCCTGCCCCTTTGGGTGCTCTTGCTGAGTCAACAGGAGAAAGGCGGCTGTGGGAAGTGGTGTGTGAGGAAGGGCAGGGCTCACTGCCTCCCCCCGACCCTGTGCCTCTAGGTGCCCTGTAATGCTGGTGGTCGGAGACCAGGCGCCCCACGAAGATGCTGTGGTCAGTAGCAACTTTCAGGGCAGTGAGGGAATGTTGCAGTCAGAAGTGGATCTTGCCAAGGGGCAAACTCTGGGACTGGAGGAGCAACTTTAGGAAGTTTTATTTTTGTTAAGACACAATTGGAGCTGGGTGGTGGTGGCGCCTGCCTTTAATCCCAGCACTTGGGAGGCAGAAGCAGGTGGGTCTCTGTGAGTTTGAGGCCAGCCTGGTCTACAAAGTGAGTTCCAGGACAGCCAGAGCTACACACTGAAACCCTGTCTTGAAAAACCAAAAGAAAAAAAATTATTGGGTAGGGGGCCGACAAAGAAATGGAAAAGAACAGGGTCCCTCAGAGGAGAAGGGCTGTGCGGAGGGCAGCTCATTCCTTCTGCCCCTACTTATTCCAGGTGGAATGTAACTCCAAGCTGGACCCCACACAGACCTCCTTCCTCAAGGTCAGTAGTCCTCCAAGCCTGTCCAGGACCACACATACTCCAGATTCCAGTGTCTAAGCCTTGCGGGTTCATTGTGGGTCAGGAGAGCAGAACAAAGGGACTAATCGAGGGAGCTGGTAGGACAGGGCCCCTTTCCCTCTGCCTGGATCATCTCATGCAGCCCTGTGTCCTTTCCTGAGCAGATGGCTGACTCTGGAGGCCAGCCACAGCTGACGCAGGTGAGTGTCCTACCACCCATGGGATGGGGAAGTGGGATTTATCAGTGTCCTTCATCTGTGCTCTGTCACTGGGCTTTCCTGGTGTCGATCCCTATCTCTCTGACTGTCCCCTTCCCTTGTGATATGCCCACAGCCAGGCAAGCTGACTGAGGCTTTCAAGTACTTCCTGCAGGGCATGGGCTACAGTGAGTACTGGGGCAGAGGGGTGAGGGCGGACCTGTTTGAGGCTGACTCTCGAACTCCCCGTCTCTCAGTCGATGGCTGGCTCATCGTTCTGTTTCCACAGTGGCCTCATCCTGCATGACTCGCCTGTCTCGGTCTCGTACAGCTTCACTGACCAGTGCGGCCTCCATTGATGGCAGCAGGTCCCGTTCCCGCACCCTGTCACAGAGCAGCGAGTCTGGGACTCTGCCATCTGCACCCCCGGGGCACACCATGGAGGTCTCCTGTTGAATGACCCTCGTGGCCCTGGTGTGGAACCCAGCCTCACCTCCCATAGCGCTAACCCGGGAGGTGTAGTGGGGCGTTGGGCCAGAGTAAGAAGGAAGATGGGCAGATCATGCAGAGAGACGACTTTGATCTTTAATTGCTACCCTAACCTTGACCTTTAACCTGTGATTTCCTCTAGCTCCTAAGAGAGATGTCCTAATATCTCTTAGAGATCCAGGCCCCTAAATTATCCCCTTTCCCATGTTGGTGTTGAGAAGTCTCGTGTCTTCTCTCCCTGACCCAGGTGTCTGTAGGTGAGGAATCAGAAGCTGTTACAGCTGCCGTGGGGCCCCCATCACTCCCTCTCTGTATCCCGTGTTTGCAAGGGTAGAGAGTTGTGCGTGCGTGTGTGTGTGTGTGTGTGTGTGTGTGTGTGTAAGGGTGGGAGATGGGTGCTCCATTCCCCAAAGCTGGCAGTGGCTTTGCCTTGACTCTTCAGGCCTTTGAAGGCAATGGGCTTAAGTGATTGTCTTTTGGGGGAGGCTTGCTGGTGTGCCAGTGGTTCTTAAAATGTGATGGAAATATCCAGCACGTAAAAAGGAAGTAAGAATGGGAAATGGTGGGCATGAAGAATAGTGGTGGAAGGATGGGAGGTGGGGCAGCAGAGTGGGCCTGGCATGTGGCTGCACTAACTTCCGTAGCTATCAGTGCACACCTAGGGGAGAGAGCTCAGGCCAGACTGCTTGGGGCTTGGCATCAGGCTGGGAAGGGCTGCCGCGGCTCTGACCGTACTGTTGTGTGTAGAGCGTGACCTCCTGTCTCCCAAAACTTCTGTGGTGACAATAAACTCTAGAGGAAACTGAGTACCGTTATTAACCTGGTCTGGATGTGCCTGCATCCCGCCCCTTCCCTGCCCCCTCGTTGCTCCCCTCCAAGTGCTATAACCCGGAGGTGGTTTGTGCAGTCTGTGAGCATGGGATCTGAGAAACATGGTATTGCTCTTTCTATTAACAATGTGTATAAGCTTGGAAAAGAGAACTGGTGTAGATTTCAGGGAACTTGCTTATCATTTGTGGGTCCTCGAGGAAGACTAGGACTTCAGAGATGTCATCAATATCGTGTTCTTCAAGAAAGCTGACTGGGGGCTGGAGAGATGGCTCAGAGGTTAAGAGCATTGCCTCCTCTTCCAAAGGTCCTGAGTTCAATTCCCAGCAACCACATGGTGGCTCACAACCATCTGTAATGGGGTCTGGTGCCCTCTTCTGGCCTTCAGGCATACACACAGACAGGATATTATATACATAATAAATAAATAAATAAATATTAAAAGAAAGAAAGAGAGCTGACTGAAGGGCTGGGAAAATGGCTCAGTGGTTAGGAGCACTAGCTACTCTTCGGGGGACCTGGGTTCAATTCCTAGCCCATATGGCAGCTCACTGCTAGCATACTTATAGTTTCAGGGGATCCAACACCCTCTTTTACCCTCCAAGGGCTCTAGGCATCTGGAAGTCTCAAGAAGGTCACAGCAAAACGGAAGTCCCTTTGAGGATTTTATTCACTGGTGGAATGGGAGGGGGGAAGGATCTGGGAGTTAAACTATGTGGCTCACTGCCTGGCCAGGCTAACCAATCAGTGGGCAGCAGTGTCAATTGGGACCGAGTGCTGGGAGAATTTTCTTTCTGAGGGTTTAGAACCAAGCAATGGAACTAGCCCCTTCTCAAGAGGTTCCAATGACAAACCGAATTGCACTCTGGGAAACCAATTAAAGAGATTGTGGGCAGGCACACTGGAAGGTCTGCATCTCATAAAGGTGATGATTCTCCATTGCTGTTCAGGTGGAACTCGCTCCTAGTCTTCCCAAGCTGTATACTCTTGTTCCTCTCCGAGTCCACGGCCTCAGAGATGGGTGGGAGGAGTGGTAGTGGGGTTCAGTGACCTGCGTCCTTCCTTTGTGTCAACAAGCCTAGCTATGAAGATCTTTTGCAGACAGACATGACGATGGTGGCTATTTAATTTAGAGGGTTGTGCTAGACGACACCCAGTCTCAAAAAGTGAGGTGCAGAGCCGGGTGGTGGTGGCGCATGCCTTTAATCCCAGCACTCTGGAGGCAGAGACAGGAGGATCTCTGTGAGTTTGAGGCCAGCCCGGTCTACAAGAGCTAGTTCCGGGACAGGCACCAAAAATAGAGAAACCCTGTCTCGAGAAAAGAAAAAAAATAGGTGTAGAGCGATGGAGGGATATGCTCAGTCTCCCTCTGGCCTCCACACATGGATGTACATACACGAACACTTAGGGCCACAGCACACACAGACACAAGTGAAAATGAGAAAGTACTTTATGGGAGTGTCAGAAGGAACAATGTGGATAGAATATTATGGGGTTGTTAAAGTTTGCTTCGTGGAAACCTTAATTGTACTATTTCCTCCATAGCACTGAGTGGCAGACTGAGCCCTGTGGCATCAAGGGCTACATTCAGGCGTGGTAGTGAGACAGGCTTATGGCCTCGATGCTGGTGTTTCTTTCCTTTCCTTTCTTTTCTTGTGCTGGGGATTGAACCCAGGACCTTGTACATGCTAGGCCCTACCACTGAGCTCTGGCCCTAGTCCTAACCCCATCTAGACGCAGGCCAGTGCCAGAAGAGGGTGTTAGTGGGTTAGTTAGCTGTCGGGTGGATGTTGGGTCAGGCAACAAACACTGCTAAAATGCCAAACTGAAGAAAAACAGAGTATCGCTATAGCCACTGGTGGCAAAACTGAGGAGAAAGCTAAGAACTGGGGTTTCCACCAGTCTCTGCTGGTGTAGCTGCTGTTGTTATTATGGAAGGGAAGACAAACTTTGCTTAGAATCTGCCTACAGAGGTCATATTGTTAGCAGAGTCTTTGAATACAACTATAGATGTTTCTGGAGGGACTGGGGGTGGGGAGGGCATTTGCTGTCCTAGATTGACTCCCTTTTTTTTTTTTTTTGGCCTGACATACTCTAGTTCACCCATGGAGACACAGTGCCTCCCTGTGGTCAGCAAATAACTTTACCTGGCCTAGGTTTCCCTGTCACTGTTCCTCATAGTTAACGCTGAGGCCGTCCTGAAATCAAGGCCTCGGGGGTGCAGTACAGTTTGACAGAAGCAGAGTAACAAACTCCCCGCTTACTTTCTCCTCTTCAGGATTAGGATCCTGTTTGAATCTTGTTTTATCCCCAAGGAATGTCAGTGTACCCCAGATAATCAGAAGAAAGGAGCGAAAAAGAGCCCTACAGTCTGGTGGCGCACACCTTTAATCCCAGCACTCGGGAGGCAGAGGCAGGCGGATCTCTGTGTTCAAGGCCAGCCTGGTCTATAAGAGCTAGTTCCAGGAAGCCAGGGCTGTTACACAGAAAAATCTTGTCTCGAATAACCAAAAAACAAAACAAAATGAAACAAAAAAAACGCAAACATGATCAGGGGAAATGATGTGGGAGACATCACTTTAAAAATAGATTTAGGAGGAACTGGAAAAGACGAGTGATTTCTGACCTGAGGCTCGGGGTTGGTGGGGAAATGTGGTGCCCAGAGCAACGCAGCTTACATTTACCAGACCTCTCTGCCATCAGACTCTAATGATGAGTTAGTAGAAAATGTAGGGCACACTTTGTACTTGACATTCAAGGGCAAGTCACCAAAACCGCAAACCAGACATTTATCCTATAGCCAGGATTTTGTGAGCATCCCCACAGACTGCCGCTGAGGCACAATCCGTCCTGCCTCTCCTTTGCTAGTGGCACTGGGATACCCTCAGATCACCAGGGAACTAGAAGGCGTCCACTCACATCCTGTACCACTAAGTTCTGACAGCTGTTCATTGTACCGAAGAACAAGAGACCATCTCCTGTTGTGAGTGACGAGACACTCCAGAACTTCAGGGAAGGATGGAGGCCCAGGCTACCCCAGCAGAGTGAGTCTAGGGCTTTAGCTCACCCCCTCTTACTGTGGCACTGGGGAGCAAACCCAAACCCTCATGGACACTGAGAGACCGATGGCCTGCAGTGCCCCAGGAAATTCTTTGAACTTCTGCTTTCTTTTGTGTTCTTCACAAGTTCTCTTCTTGTGACTGCAACACTAAACCAAACTAAACCTATCCCCCAGCCGCAAAGCTGAGCAGAGGCAGGACATCTCCCAGAAAGTTTTTACTTCAGAAGACAGCAGCGGCATGTTGGTAGCAGAAATAGGAAGCTGGCTCTCTGCAGGAGGTCGGCCAGAGGAAGCCTAATTCTTGAGTTCTCTTCCTAGGTATATACAAAATACACGAAGAAGTGACTGTGAGAAATGGGGACAGTGACGGGTATGGGCTAAAGTTTCTAGAAAGAAGTTCACACGTTTGACCTTCTCCCAGGGTGATGGACTGACTGGCCAGAACTTAAATGATTGTGGAGAAGCTGGGATGCTGCAGGTCTGGTGCTGAATGGCAGTGTATTTTGACTGTCTTTAGTCCCCTAGATAGCCATTCACACTTCGCCTTTGTGTCTGGCTTAACATCTTTCTGACCATCCGGTAAAATCTTTTAGGATGAATTAATAGATCACTTTCATTAACCCTGAAAACTAAGACTCATCAGACAGCACTCTAGGCCTGTGATGGTTTGCTGTATTACTTTGTCCTGTTGCTATAGAAACGAATGATGGTGAATGCTGGGCGTGGCTTTGCACACCTTTAATCCAGTATTTAGAAGGCAGAGGAGGGTGGATCTCTTGGAGTTTGAGTCCAGCCTGGTCTACATAGTGAGTTCCAGGCTAGCAAAGGCTACATAGAGAGTCTCTGACTAAAGACGAACAAAAACTAATCCAAACCAAAACATCAACAAACACCAAAAACCAAAAGTCCTCCAAACAAAAACAAACAAACAAAACAAACCACCTGACCCAAAGGAAAGCAACTACAAACCTCGAAGCTGCCATCATGGTGGAGCGTGGGATGTGGGGCCATCTTCTCAATCTTCTCTGGGCCATAGCCACTCCTATGTGGCCCTAGAGAAAACTTCCTCTGTGTTTCACATCCCCACAGGAAGATGTAAAATTGTCGCGCACACATTCCTGATTACCCACCAGCCCGGATCATCTTTCCTCTTCGCTCGGCCTTCTCACGGCTGCAACCGCCGCCCGCAGAGGCCTCCCTTCTTTCCCATCAAGGTTCTCATGCTGGTTCCTACTCCATGCTGGTTCCGTTTGTCCTTCCGGTACAGACGGGGCCACCTTCCAGCTTTATGTCTGCTCTTGACATAGTATTCTCAAACTAAACACATGTCTGGCCCTGGTTGGTAAGAATTTGGGGGAGAAAAGAAGGAAATAGATATGGGGAGGAAAGAAATATTGGTTGCTCTGGAGAGAATTCCTGGGATGGATGAGGACAGAGAGTTCACGACTCAGCAGGAACTTGAGATACCAAACTCTACCTCCTCTGCCTCAAGAGCTGATGGCGAAGGAAGAGTCACAGCAGGCCAGGGTGCTTCTCCTTCAGGTTCCTTTCCTAGTTAGACATGTTTCTGTGATAGGATAACTCTCTAGCTTCCATATAACCACAGCTCTTTCAGCTTACCCCGCCAAAGTTCTGGCAAGACCCTGTTACCGTAAACATAGCAGGCAGGGCACGGAAGTCATGCCTGACAGCATTTTGTCCTGTGGCTTGACCGGTCTACAGCCTTTTCTAGCCTCAGGCTTTTAGTTGGTTTTACTCAATAGGACATTAGCAAATCAGAGCAAGAAAATAAGATTAAGTTAGCACCTTCCTGGTTGGGTCCCTCAAGGACACAGCTCTCGGGGCTGGTCCTTTCCAGTTCCTACTAAGGGCAGGCTGATTACTCAGCTTCCCGGCTTTGTCTGAACCCTGCC